GTGGAATTTCTGAGCAATAAAAAATCTTACCAGATTGGAACTAGAATTTTAATGAAGAATTAGAAAAAAAGGAGAATATATTTAAAAATGCAGAACTGCACTACAACTGCAGAGGAGAGGAATAAGGCGTTGGAGAAGACTGCTGCTCGAGTTCATGCATAAGTTTATATGTAGTCCAGTATGGCAGGCTGTTTTAACATTTAATAACAGCACTCATATCTCTTTTGTTCCATTTTTAGATCACTAAAACAGGTTTTAGACGCAGCTGCTGTCATCAACAAAAAGCTGCATGTTTTAAGACATAAGAAATCTACTAGAAAGTATAGGAGGCACAGTCTGAAGCCTTTCTATGGGACTGGTGCAGTTTGACAGTGCAGGTGTCTTCTATAATGCTGTTATCACACACATTGACATGCTCTAATAAAGTTCTTTTAAATCCCTGTTAAATAAGTCTATGTAATGCTGCAAATGTGAGGACGGATAAGGTCGTGGATGTATGTGATAGTGATTGTGAGGTGAAACGGTAGCGCTCATATACATAACTTTGTGAATATGAAGGCACACATATTAAATTTTCATCTAATGAATGCCGCCCATTGTTAAATCGGATTATTTTCAAAAGGAGATACTATGCTTGGTTGTTAACAACTGACGCATCTAACGGACATAGTGAATGATTTTCTTTTTATTCTTCACACAAAACTGTAAGAAACACTATTTCTTGGCTTAAGCCTTTGCCCCAAACCCTTTAACAATGGCAATAAATGTTGAAGAATGTATATATAATGGAGAAGATAACAGCAAAGCTGCATTTGAAAATGGACATATTCTTGGGATGTGGGCCCCTGCTATAGCCTACTTTGGATGGCCACACGGATAAAGAACATCCATCCATCCATCAATTATCTGACACTCTTGTCCTGAGTGGAGTCGCGAGGGGTGCTGGTGCCTATCTACAGCAGTCAATGGGTGAGAGGCGGGGTACACCCTGGACAGGTCGCCAGTCCATCGCAGGGCAGGATAAAGAAAACCTTAGGCTAAAAAAACGGTGTCAGCCCCTATGGTGTGTATCTCTCCCCTTTTATGGTAGACATTAGACTGTGTTTAAT